AAGCTGTGGGTGAAGAAATCTGAGCCAGATTTTAAAATAATCCTGACACACGAGCTCCGATCACGTGTACAGAGAAAAACAAGCAAAGCAAAACACCACAACCAGAAAGGGGGTGTGTGGTTTGCGGTTCTTCCTGCTTTTTTAGCATCATTTGCTCAGTTGCAACAATCACAAACAGGTGAGTCCACATGTCCCTTTTGATTTTTTTCGGTATTGTAAATGGAAAGCAAGTTGCTAGTCCTCATGTTGTTACAGGAATGTAGAAACTAAGGCAGAAATCCAAAAGTGTTTTTTTTTCCCTTGTATTCGTTCATCAAAGTAAGTTCAGGAGCCAGACAGACTAATTCTTCCGTAGTTGTAGGAGCGTTCTTATCGTATCTATGATGAGAACAGATAAAATAAGATCCAATTTAGCTTAAAAAATGGAAGGAATGAGTAGAACGGATGCTACCGTTCTGGAAAGGCCATTATAAATGGAAGAAATAAACCCCACATACTGTCAAGAAAACTAGAGAAAAGGTCTAGATCAGTGATGGGTTCCTCCCGGTTCAATCCGGTTCGGCCGAGCCGGTAGCGGTGACGATATGATGTCACCAAACCGGTTCTCCCCCCGCCCTCCCACCCACCCATGTTATTCTTACCTTTTATTTGGTCCCACCCCCAATCTATTGCTGCCTCCTGAGTCCCAGCTGATGACTAGAGGGAAAAAAACTGTTTAAACTCTTGCCGCGGGGCTTCAAAGGGCCGTCCTACAGCTGATCAGTGTTAAAAGCAAACAAATGAGTCGGGTTGTAAGTGCGAGGACTGGTCAAAAGTGCGAGGACCTTCCAGAAATGACTCTGACCAGCTAGCCACGCCCACCTAGTCACACGACCTCCAAGCCACACCCACAAAATAAGCCACGCCCACAGAACCAGTAGTAAAAAAATTTAGAACCCACCCCTGGTCTAGATCTGTGATAGTGAACCTATGGCACACGTGCCACAGGTGGCACACGGAGCCCATATCTGTGGGCATGCGAGCGTTGCCCTAGCTCAGCTCCAGCATGCATGCGTGTGCCGGCCAGCTAATTTTTGGGCCTTTTGGGCCCACCGGAAGTCGGGAAATGGGCTATTTCCGGCCTCCAGAGGGCCTCGGGGGGGAGGGGGGCTGTTTTCGCCCTCCCCAGGCTCCCAGAGGCTTTCTAGGAGCCTGGGGAGGACAAAAAGCAGGCCTACCGGGCCCTCCGGGCCATCGCGTGCCAAAAGCAGGGGGAGCGTGGGGCACATTGAATTATGGGTGTGGGGCACGCACGCACGCATCCCTCCCGCAGTCTCCCCCACTTTTGGCACGCGACAGCAAAAAGGTTAGCCATCACTGGCCTAGATCAAACCTGACAACCTTAAAAAGGTATGAACTTCAACTCCCAGAATTCTCTAGCCAGCTGGGTAGAGAATTCTGGGAGTTGAAGTCCATCCTTTTTCAAGTTGCCAAGGTTGAAAACCGTTGACCTTGGCACAGCCGGGGGTTTTTAAAAAAAGGAAGGGTTTCCCCAAAGGTTTTTTTTTTTTTTTTTTCAAGAGGCAACTGGACATTCTGGGTTTTTTTCTTTGAAGACGTTTCGCTTCTCATCCCAAGAAGCTTCTTCAGTTCGGGGAAGCTTCTTAGATGAGAAGCGAAAAGTCTTCAAAAGAAAAAAACCAGGAAGTCCAGTTGCCTCTTGAAAAAAAAAACACCTTTGGGACAACCATGACTTGGGACAACTGAGAATCTCCATAGACAAAGATACAGGTGCGTTCACAAAATGGCAACTATGGTGGGTTCTTTCCAATTCCTCAGGATGCTCCTAACCCTAACTTGGTCCTTTTTTTTCTGGGAAGGTGGCCACACTTCGAAGCCAAGGGTGAATGTAGAGCCAGTTTGCTGATGGTTAAGGCACCAGGCTAGGAACTAGGAGACGGTGAGTTCTAGTCCCGCCATAGGCATGAAAGCCGATTGGATGACTCTGGGTCAATCACCAGGAGACGGTGAGTTCCAGTCTCACCTTAGGCATGAAAGCCAGCTGGGTGACTTTGGGGTAATCACCAGGAGACGGTGAGTTCTAGTTCTGTCTTAGACACGAAAGCCAATTGGCTTTCACTGATTTTAGGCAAGTCACTCTATCTCAGCTCAACCCACCTCACAGGGTGGTTGTGGAGAAAATAGGAGGAGGAAGGAGTATTAGATATGTTCTCTCTGCCTTGAGTTATTTATAAAACTAATAAAGGCAGGTATAAGTAAGTAAGTGCCAGTTTCTGGCCTTCATTATTTTTTAAGAATGGTTCTAAGATGTACATAGGACAGAGGCATTGTTAGAAATAGTTAACGCCTGAGGCTCTGGCATGTTTTCCAGCCTATTTAGCCTGTTTTTTTTTTTAAAGACTCACAGAATAAAATGAAGTAGGGTAGAATCTGGTTGCTCCTGGGCACCGCGTTGGGGATCCAAAAGCTAGTGCACCTATTCTGGGAATGCCATATTGCCCCCAAGTGGTCCTAAAGAGCAAGTGGATAATTCCTCTTTTTTACCAGAAGTTTCGCCATCCTGAAAGCTGTGTAAATTAAGAAAACAGAGGTTTAGCAAGCTAATCTATTTGCTTGCCCGTGGTTTATTGAATAAACCACAATTCAACAGGATTTGTATGCGATCTCAGGTCGTAAACCGTGGTTGATGAATCACAAGGGATGGTTTTGCACCGAACAAGCCACATTATGGGTTAGCACGAACGCTGCCTAAGGCTCAAATAGAAGTGAAGTCAACAAGGACATTTCATTCCTTGTTCGTTTTAGTTTCTGAATTCCGCAGAATTTGGAATCGTCGTTAGACCATGAAGCAACCAGATTATATGCTGCTCGTTTAAGGAATCTGGCAACTGCCAAATTTATCCAAACCGATCAAGCTATTTGGTCTCACATTTCACCTGGAAATTGCAGGATTGCTACAGAGAAGTAATCACTGATCATACTATATGGGTAAAGATATAGATAGTCCTTGACTTATGTCTGTAATGGCCCCTGCCAATTACGGCCATACATTGTGACAGTTGTAAACAATGAGTCGTCATGTGAGCTTCCCAATTTTACAACTGCCTTTTACATATGGTCATTAAATGAGCCCATTGTTCACTATGGGGCATGCTTCCCCCCAAAAAAAAAACAAAACGGAACTAAACACCAATTTTTGGCAAAAAACATCATAAATCACAGGTGATCACAGGAAAAGTTGCAAATGGCCATAAATTTGACATTGCTGAGTGCCCGAAACGTGGTTGGAATTTCAGAATTGGATTGTAAGGGCTGGGGGTAATTTTGAAAGGTTGCTATGCAACCGGTTGTAGGACAACAACTACCTGTAAGGCAGGGTTGTCCAAACATGGCCACTTTAAGACTTGTGGACTTCAACTCCCAGAAGTCCCCACTCCCCAGACAGCGTTGCAACGTTGGCTGGGGACTTCTGGGAGTTGAAGTCCACAAGTCTTAAAGTGGCCATGTTTGGACACCCCCTGCTGTAAGATCTTTTGTGGCTCAGTTCTTTCAAAAGGCACCCAGTCCGAACAATATTTCAATTCATTAATATATATATATATATATATTTCACAAGTCGTTTGAGCCTCTGCTGGGCTTCACAACCACCTTGTGAGTTATTTGCGTGATTTCCCCTCTGAGGAACAGCAACCAAATGGCAAATTTGATCAATCCCATCCCATCATTCTGTGACTGATTCACGTACGACTCTAAATCAGGGTTGAAAAATAAATCAAAACTGATTTTCTTTTGGGACAGGCTGCCATCACTGGACTAGGAAGAAACATGATAGCAGTCTTCCAGAATTTGAGGGGCTGCCACAAAGAAGAGGGGGACAACTTATTTTCCAAAGCACCAGAGGGCAGGACAAGAAATAATGGATGGAAACTAATCAAGGAGAGAAGCAACCTGGAATTAGGGAGAAACATCCTAACAGTGAGGACAATTAACCAAAAGAACAGGGTCCCTTCCACTTCTGTTGTTGTTGTGTTGGAGAACTGATTATCTAGGTCAATATTTCTTGAATTAGGCAACTTGAAGGTGTGGGGATTTCCCAGCCAATTTTAATATTCTGGAGGAATAGAATAGAACAGAACAGAACAGAACAGAACAGGGATTGGGATTGGATTGGAATGGAATGGAATTGGAATAGAATTGGAATAGGAATAGGAATAGGAATGGAGCGTAACGTAACAGAACAGAACAGAACAGAACAGAACATGGAATGGAACGGAACGGAACGGAACAGAACAGAACAGAACAGAATAGAATAGAATTCTTTATTGGCCAAGTGTGATTGAACACACAAAGAATTTTTCTTTAGTGCATATACTCTCAGCGTACATAAAGAAAAAATAAAATATATTTGTCAAGAATCATAAGGTACAACACTTAGGGATAGTCATAAGGTACAAATAAGCAATCAAATCATGCTAGGAAACAATATCAATATTGACAACATTGTAAGGATCCAAGCAACAAAGTTACAATCATGTAGTCATAAGTGGGAGGAGATGGGTGATAGGAACGATGAGAAGACTAATAGTAATGCAGCCTAATGTGAATAGTCTGACAGTGTTGAGGGAATTATTTGTTTAGCAGCAGCAGCAGAAAAGGAAACGCACAGGATTCCGATCCAGGTTTTGATCCCCAAGTCCTTAAAAAAATCAGTATTTCTCAAGCCTGGCAACTTTGAAGGCGGGTGGGACTTCAACTCCCAGAATTCCCCAGCCAGCTTTTAAGACTCTGGGAGGAAACAGGAAGCGCGCATGCGTGCCTTGAGCCGCCACAACAGGGGTCTCCCAAGCATGTCGACTTTAAGACTTGTGGACTTCAACTCCCAGAATTCCTCAGCCAGCAAAGCTGGCTGAGGAATTCTGGGAGTTGAAGTCCACAAGTCTTAAAGTCGACATGCTTGGAGAGCCCTGCTCCATGACACAATCCCAGGGAGGGTCGCTTACCCAGTACCAGGATCCGGTCCCCCGGCTTCAGTTCCGCCTCCAGCTCTTCCCGAAAAGCTTCCAAGCCCCCGAACCACTCGGTGGGCTCGGCCCCCTCTTGCTCGTACCTCGCGTCCCAGAAGCCCCGCTCTCGGTACCCGGCGTTGGAAGCCGGGCGATGCCTCCGCGGGGCCTCCTCCATTTGGGGGGAAGCCTGGGCGGAGGAAAGCCCGGCGCCCAGCCAATGGATGGAATTCCCCCCGCCGCCTGTGCTTGGCAGCCCTGGGACACCTGCTCGTCCACGTGGCCTGGCAAAAGCACGTGGAGCTTCCGGTTGCTGAGCGGGGAGGGTGGATAAAAGCGCTCCCCCCCGGAAACGCGAGCTAGGAGGGTTTGGGTCCGCTTTCTGGCTGCTGTAGGTCTTGTAGGGATTCTCAGCCATCCAGGTCATGGTTGTCCCAAAGGGGTTTTTTCAGCCAAGTTCAGAGAGCACCAAGGAGCCTTCATTTCAACCCTGAACTACCAATATCCCCCTTTATGTAATAATATGAAATATGTACTTATATGTTAGGGTGTAGCAGTGGCGCAATCCAATTTTTTTTTTACTACCGGTTCTGTGGGCGTGGCAGGGGAAGGATATTGCAAAATCTCCGTTCCCACCCACTCCAGGAGGGATACTGCAAAATCCCCATTCCTACCCCACTCCAGGGGAAGGATACTGCAAAATCTCCATTCCCACCCCATTCCAGGGGAAGGAGACTGCAAAATCCCCATTCCCTCCCCACTCTAGGGGAAGGATACTGCAAAATCCCCATTCCCTCCCCACTCTGGGGCCAGCCAGAGGTGGCATTTGCCGGTTCTCCGAACTACTCAAAATTTCCGCTACCGGTTCTCCAGAACCTGTGAGAACCTGCTGGAATTCACCCCTGAGGTGTAGGTATACACATCACCTCATTCGTAAGAGATCTGTAAGGGGTGTGCATAAGCGCACCAACGTGGCTACTGTCCCTGTCCTGTCCCCATTTATCCGTATCCATTTCCTGTATTCATAATCGTGTTTATACTTATATCTGTTATTTTATACATGCTTGACAAAATAAATAAATAAATAAATAAAAATGTATATAGCATATCTATATGCGTGTTATGTATGTCTACCCTTTTCAAGAACAGGCAACAATTTCATTTTTAATGTGTGCTGGAGTGCCCACAGGAAAAAAAAATGACGATAAAAGTTATCTCTCTCTTATCGGATCTCCAACTCTCGGTGGCCTCAATCTGAAGAAGGAAACCTACGGGTGAAATCCAGCAGGTTCTGACAGGTTCTGGAGAACCGGTAGCGGAAATTTTAAGTAGTTCAGAGAACTGGCAAATACCACCTCTGGCTGGCCCCTGAGTGAGGTGGGAATGGAGATTTTGCAGTATCCTTCCCCTGGAGTGGGGTGGGAATGGAGATTTTGCAATATCCTTCCCCTGGAGTGGGGTGGGAATGGAGATTTTGCAGTATCCTTCTCCTGCCACACCCACAGAACCGGTAATAAAAAAAAAAACGATTTCACCACTGATGAAATCCCAAAGGTGCTTTTTCGGGAGGCAAGTGGACTTTCTTGTTTTTTCGCTTTTGAAGACATTTCGCTTCTCATCCAAGAAGCTTCTTCAGCTCTGACAGGATAGTGGATAGTGGAAGGATTTATATTCTTTGCTGAGAGCGGGTCATGTCCATAAATCCTTCCATTCCCCACTATCCTGTCAGAGCTGAAGAAGCTTCTTGGATGAAAAGCGAAACATCTTCAAGAGAAAAAAACAACAACAAGGAAGTTCAGTTGCCTCCTGAAAAAGCACCTTTGGGACAACCATGGCGTGGATGACTGAGAATATCTACAGACTTTTAGCTATACAATTTGGGATGAACACCCTTTGAATGGTGTGGGAGTAGGAATGGATTTCCAGAGAGAAAATAATTGCAGACGACAGAAACCAGGAGTACCACTCAAGGAGCCTCACTCTCAAAGGATGCAAATGACCGGCTGCCTGCAACGAATATAAATCCTTCCATTCCCCACTATCCTGTCAGAGCTGAAGAAGCTTCCTGGATGAGAAGTGAAACGTCTTCAAAAGGAAAAACCAAGGAAGTCCAGTTGCCTCTTGAAAAAAGCACCTTTGGGATTTCCTTCTTCAGATTGAGGCCACCGAGAGTTGGAGATCCGATAAGAGAGAGATAACTTATTGTCATTTTTTTTTTCCTATGGGCACTCCAGCACACATTAAAAATGAAATTCTGTTGCCTGTTCTTGAAAAGTGTACACATACATAAAATGCATATAGAAATGCTACATACATACATGTATATACCTACCCCCTAACATATAAGTACATATTTAATGTTATTAAATAAAGGGGGATATTGGTAGCTCAGGATTGAAATGGTGCTCTCTGAGCTTGGCTGTTTTCTTGCAGACGTTTCATTACGCAGCTAGCCCTGATAGTGTTACCTAGTAGGGTAATGAAACGTCTGCAAGGACATAACCAAGCTCAGACAGCACCAAGGAGCTCTTAGTTGCAGATCCTCCATGGCATTTGCACAGGTTGCTGAAGCTATAAACGAGGAGGAAATTGTAATGCCGATTGAGCTTAATCAATTCTTTTTAAAAACAAAATTGCAAACTATAAAAACATGTGCTTCCTTTCTAGGTTCAATGCCTGGCGAGTTAATATTAATGGTAGTTACTAATATTAAAAACTAAATATTAATAGTTAGTTAATAACTAAAACATAAATAATGGGATAAGGACCCTAGGGAGTAGGAGCTTCAGCTAGGAGTTATCTCTCTCCCACCTTCCCTCTCTTTTCTCCTTCCTTCCTCCCTCTCTCTCTTTCTCTCCCTTCTCTTTCTCCCTTCCTCTCCCTCCCTCCTTTCTATCTCTCTCTCCTTTTCTCTATCTCCCTCCCTCTCTCCCTCCCTTTTCTCTCCTCTCCCTTCCTCTTTAATATTAAAATTAAATATTAATAGTTAGTTAACTAAAACATAAATAATGGGATAAGCTCCCATAGGGAGCATGAGCTTCAGCTATGAATTATCTCTCTCTCTCTCCCTCACTTTTCTCCTTCTCTCCCTCTTCTTTCTCCCTCCCTCCCTCTCTTTTCCCCTTCCCTCCCTCTTTCTCTCCCTCTTCTTTCTCCCTCCCTCCCTCTTTTCTCTCTCTCCCTCCCTCCCTCACTTTTCTCTTTCTCCCTTCCTCTCCCTCCCTTTCTATCTCTCTCCCCTTTTCTCTCCCTCCCTCCCTTTTCTCTCCTCTCCCTCCCTCTCTTTTCTCTCTCTCTCTCTCTTTTCTCTTTCTTTCTCTTTCCCCCTTCCTCTCCCCCCCGTCTCTGTGTATGATAATCACGCAGTATATTCAGTATATTTGTTTCCCTTCTTTTTCATTTCTTTTATTTTAGTGGAGTAAGTAAACAAGAGGCTGCAGACCCAAACCAAGCAAGCGCATTTCTTACACCTTTTGTCGTGGAATCCAACGCTCGGTAGCCACGAACAGAGCCTTGGCAAGCCACTAGAGGTTAAGGGGAGAGGGGAGGGGGGGCACGGAAAGGAGACCACCAGGAGAGGCGAAGAGATCCTTGGGCAAGGGGGGAAAAAAACAAAAACAAAAACGCCTTGCGCATTCTTGCAAAGGAGCAGACTTTCACAGAAACACCCCGCTTAGAGGGGAGCGCTGAGCTGGCGGCTCTGTTTTGATCTGCTGCAGGTGGACGGGAGACCACGGGGAAATCCCGGAGCTGAGGAAACCCCCCCAAAGGGCGGACACTGCCGCGGCCGGAACTGTCGACGCCGGGCGAGGCCAGGCGGGGGAGCGTTTTGGCGGAGGCACCAACGGGCCTCAATAGGGGCTATGGCGCCGGCGCCTGGGCCGCGGAGGAAAGGGGCGGCGGGGCCAGGCTCCCCCGTCCTACTCCGGGCCCTACGCCGAGCCTGGCAGGAGAAGCACCTGGTGCTCTTAGAGCCTCGCTTCACCCCGCTGGTGGCCGCCTGCCTCTGCTTGGCCGAAGTGGGGGTCAACCTCTGGGTCATCCAGAGGGTGGCATGTGAGTCGCCTTGGGCGCCCCGAAAGGGTTGGATTCCAGCTCCCATCATCCGCGCAGGGATGGAGTGATAATAAGGGTCTTTGGCCAGACCCGTTGGGAGGGCGCCCCGTTGATGGCGGGGGGGGGGGGGAGGAAGGGAGGTGGGGTGGGGGGGTATTTGGGTGCATTGATAAACCTTGAGGACTAGAATCTTGGGAAGAGTGGAGGGGAGTCGTTTTAGAGTGTGTAGGCGAAGGGGGGGTGCCAAGAATAGAACTGGAGCAGTGCAGGTGGTGTTTTTGGCTGGCCCCGCAGGCTAAAAACAGGGTTGGTCAACCTTGGCAACTTTTAAGATGCATGGACTTCCAATTCCCAGAATCCCCCAGCACAGCACAGCTGTGCTGGGGGATTCTGGGAATTGGAAGTCCATGCATCTTAAAAGTTGCCAAGGTTGACCAACACTGGTCTAAACTGCTGTGCCCTTCTCCATCTATGGGGTGGGTGGCAATCACGGCATCCGATGATGTGTTGCTGCTAAGATCGCGGGAAATATTTCTTTTTTCCCTTCGTCGTAACCTTGACGAAAAAAAGGAAAGGATCTGTCTCGTCTCGTTCATAATTTTAATCCAGCATTGTGCTTTGATTCGTTTTCGAATAGGAATAGGAATTGGAATAGGAATAGGAATTGGAATAGGAATAGGAATGGAATGGAATGGAATGGAGAGTGAAGTGAATGAAGTGAAGTGAAGTAGTGAATTTTTTATTGGCCAAGTGTGATTGGACACACAAGGAATTTGTCTTTGGTGTATATGCTCTCAGTGTACATATTAAACTAAATAGCTGGAAACAGGGTGGATTTGATTTAAATCGAGTTGATTTAAATCACAATTTAAATCATGATTTGAATCACTAGTAAAAAGGCTTGATTTAAATCAACTCGGTTTAAATCATAATTTTTAAAGAGCAACTGTCATCTCTGCTACTCCTTTCACCCACTGTTGACTCACCGATAGTCCCAGTGTTGCAGAATAGACAGCCTCATGCTGCATAACTAAGCTCCATTTCATGCTGAATAAGCTAAATTATTTATGTATCTTAAATAGAAAACTATCTTACGTTAGATTTTTACCCCAAAGTTGTTTTATTAAAATAAATTCGATAAAAATAAAAAAAAAATCCGATTTAAATCAAAAAAATCTGATTTTTTTGATTTTTTTTTTTTTTAAATCATTGGTTTTTATCCACCCTGGCTGGAAACCAAATCTTGTAAGTAAATTGGATCTCTGTCTAGGATTGCAGGCTGTGTGAGGAACACCCGGGGAGGAAAAAGGGACATTCAGATGGTACGTATCTTGAAATCCTGTGCCTCAGGACCAATTCTTCAGAGGATTCCCTTTCCCCCGCAAGACCACCTACCTTTTGGGCAGTGGTGAGATTCAAATAATTTAACAACCGGTTCTCTGCCCTAATGATTTCTTCCAACAACCAGTTCACCAAACTGCTCAGAAAGTTAACAACCGGTTCTCCCGAAGTGGTGCGAACCGGCTGAATCCCATCATTGCTTTTGGGCATTCACATAAGCTGTCGATGTTAGCTACTTGAATGTCAGAGGGAAAAAGTCCGTGACAGTAAGAAAAGTTTGACAGTGAACCAATTTCCAAAGGAGGAAGGGGATTACTCTTCAGTGGGCAGAACAGGCTGATTTAATTTAGATCCTTGCACTGAGGAAGTGTGTCTTTCTGTGTGCGTGAATGCACATGCATTTGACAACCTCTGTGGTCCTTTCTGACCCTTGTGACTTTTGTACATGCACTAAACTTAGTATTCACATTAGACATTTTTTACAGCATAGCAAGTGTGTGCGAATCTAGCTTCTTTTATTCGTTCACCGTATCACATCAGAGCTGAAAATGGGTTAATCCAATAACCAGGTTTGGTGTGTTGGCACGTCAGGGGTAAAATATAAAATTCGTTACTACGTTCTGTGGGCATGGCTTGGTGGTGGTGGGGGTAATGTGACTGGGTGGGCGTGGGCAACTTTTTTTTTTTTAACTTTTCAAAGCATTTTTTCTAATGCTTTGAAAAGCCTCTGCCGATCAGGCAACTCAGCTGGGATCGTCAGAGAGGCTTTTTAAAAAATACCTCTCTGACGATTCCAGCTGAGTTGCCTGATCGGCAGAGAGGTATTTTTTAAAAATACATCTTTGCCGATCAGGCAACTCAGCTGGGATCGTCAGAGACTTTTCAAAGCATTTTTTTTTACCACCTCTTCGGCCAAGAGGTTGCAGAAAAAAATGCTTTGAAAAGCCTCTTGATCCCAGCTGAGCCGCGCGATCATTAGAGGATTTTTTTTTTACTTTTAAAAGCATTTTTTTGTCGGAAGAGGTTGTAGAAAAAATGCTTTTAAAAGTAAAAAAAAAAAAGCCTCTGATGATCGTGCGGCTCAGCTGGGCATGGGGGGGGGGGTGGGCAGGGATTTTTGCTACCGGTTCTCCGAACCAGCCACCACTATCACTACCAGATCAGGTGATCTGGTCCGAACCGGGAGCATTTCACCCCTGGTTCATGTGTTATTTTAAACTAAAGAAACCATGAAACTAATTTCGTGAGCGTTGCACTAATTAGGGCATGTCAAATTTTTCAACTTTCAATTTCCAAACATTAGGGTTGTGACATGCCTTGGGAATTGTGAAGGTATTTTGGTTACTTTAATACAATTTCGATGTGCTTGGTAAGTAACTACATACATATCATAACTTTTTAACATTTTGGTTGTTTCATTTGCATCATGCGTGCAGAGACCATGCAAACTAAGTTTTCAGTCGGTTTAATCAGTATCTTAGCATTGCATACACCAATGTTTTTCAGTGTTGCCAACCTTTTAAGATGTGTGGACTTCAGCTCCCAGAATTCCCTAGCCAGCATATTGGCTGGTGAATTCTGGGAGTTCAAGTCCATACATCTTATAATTGCCAACATTGAAAAATACTGTTCTACATGAAATCCCGCTCCATTCCTATTAAAGTACTAACATTCTGCTAGTTTCTAAAAATGATAAATAAAAATTCTGGTCTTGAATTTGTGGCAGAGCAAAAATTAAAACAGTCCTTTTTGAAGTTGAAATGTTTCCAGTAAGACCTCAGAACCCTTCCAGTGAGATATGGAAGGTATGCCTAGGTTGAAATATTTTGTATTCTACTCCTCCAGGGAACTGCATCACACATTGAATACAAATTACCTGCTGCATCATATCATCATAATTGTAGTTTGTCAATTTGTTTAGGAAATGTTACCTTACTTTTTTTAAAAAAAATATTTATTATTATTATTATTTTAAATACCCATCCATTTTGTGTGTGAACAGAGTTGGTTCTGGGTATCATTCATATTAATCCAATTCACAATAACAGTATTATAATCTCTTATCACATTTATCAAATTTAAGTAATCCTCATTATATTGTTCAAACAGATATAAGCAAGGAATGCCTAACTCCTCATTTTTATCTCTATCTTCATCTACGTCTTTCTTGTTCAATCTAAACATTTCTCTATTATATATGAACAAATTTGGCTAGGTATCATTCATATTGATTCAATTCACACTACCGTTGTAATAATGTCTGTCGCATTTATCAAATTTATATAATCCTCATTATATTATTTAAACGTACATAAAAGGAGAATGCCTAACATCATCTCTTCTAATACCAGTATTAGCAATCTCTCTCACATTTATCAAATTTAGGTAATCCTCATTATATTGTTCAAACAGATATAAGCAAGAGATGCCTAACTCCTCATCTTTATCTCTATCTTCATCTATGTCTTTCTTGTTTAATCTAAACATTTCTCTGTTATATATGAACAAATTTGGCTAGGTATCATTCATATTCACGCTACCATTGTTAATAATCTCTATCGCATTTATCAAATTTATATAATCCTCATATTATTTAAACGTACATAAAAGGAGAATGCCTAACGTCATCTCTTCTAATACCAGTATTAGCAATCTCTCTCACATTTATCAAATTTAGGTAATCCTCATTATATTGTTCAAACATACATATACAAAAAACGCCTAACTCCTCATCTTTGTCTCGATCTTCATCAGGAAATGTTATCTTAGCGCTCAACGCCAGCAACAATAGAAATATGACTAATAAAATAATAAAATAAATAAATAAACAATGACTTTTGCTAAAAAGCTAAAGAGAAAAATACAAAATCAGAAAATACAAAATTCAAAATCAAAATCCATCACCTGTCTTCTGGGCTACTGAAAACTAGTCCGAAGCACGGAGAAAAGTGGCTGAGAGTAGGCCCATTTTGATTACCTGAACTTGGCTATGGAACGGCGAAATTTAACTGCCCATCTCCTTTAGAGTTCTTGGAGACTCCAGACCTTCTAAGGCAGCTGATGAACTGATGAGCATCTGTGCACTTTTCCCACAGACACCGAGATCGACTGGAAAGCCTACATGGATGAAGTGGAGGGGGTTGTGAACGGGACCCTGGATTACACCCAACTAAAGGGGGACACGGGTCCCCTTGTGTGAGTACCTCTAATCTTCCAACCTTGCTGAAGCTCTCGTGGGTCCATCATCATCATCACCAACAACAACAATATAATTTATCAGACTTATATGGCACCCGACCCCCAATGATTCTGGATAGCTCACAACAATCAATATATTTTTTTTAAATTTGATTTATATGCCGCCCTTCTCCGGAGACTCAGGGCGGCTTACAATGCGTTAAGCAATAGCCTTCATTCTTTTGTATATTTATACAAAGTCAGCTTATTGCCCCCACAAACTGGGTCCTCATTTAACCTACCTTAGAAAGGATGGAAGTCTGAGTCAACCTTGAGCCTGGTAGGATTCGAACCTGCAGTAATTGCAGGCAGCTGTGTTAATAACAGGGTGCTTTAAACCACTGTACTACCAAGGTATGTACCAATTACATTGCAGGTAGTCCTCGACTTAACAACCATTCATTTAGTGGCTGTTCGAAGTTACAAAGGTACTGAAAAAAGTGACTTATGGCCATTTTTCACACTTTCGACGGTTGCAGTATCCTCGTGGTCACGTGATCAAAATTCAGAAACTTGGCAACTGACTCATATGACGATTGCATGGTCCTGGGGTCATGTGATCCCCTTTTCCGACCTTTTAACAAGCTGAGGCAATGGGGAGGCCAGATTCACTTAACAACCGTGTTAGTAACTGAACTGCAGAGATTTACTTAACAACTGTGGTAATGGGGGGGGAACTCACTTAACGACTGTCTAGCTTAGCAGTGGAAATTTTGGCCTCCGTTGTGGTTGTTACGTCGACGACTACCTGTACAGCCAATACAAGATTAAGGTTGGGATGACATGACAGATGGGATGACGAGCAAGGGTCTTCATAAGTCTCAACAATTCAGATCTTTATAGCTCTTATAAACAGCACAGTGGGGCCCACCTAGATGTTGGGGGGAATGTCATTCCAGAGAGCAGGTGCTGCTGCAGAGTGAATTTTTGGGGTCTCAATATATGACGTTTAATTAAAAAGAGCCTTGGTAGTACAATGGTCTAAAGCACCCTGTTATTAAGCTGGTTATCAAGAACAGCTGCCTGCAATTACTGCAGGTTCGAATCTTGCCAAGGCTCAAGGTTGACTCAGCCTTCCATCCTTTCTAAGGTAGGTAATTTGAGGACCCAGTTGTGGGGGGCAATAAGCTGACTTTGTATAAATATACAAAAGGATGAAGGCTATTGCTTAACGCATTGTAAGCCGCCCTGAGTCTCCGGAGAAGGGCGGCATATAAATCAAATTAAAAAAAAAAAAAAAAAAATCCCAAGGACTCCAACCCCCCAGGATCAAATTGGCAGGCTGATACGATGGGCTCAAGTAACAAAGTTTGATGCCAAGTAGGCATTGTGAGTCAGGAACAGAGGGAGGGAGGGAGGATCCTTTTTATTCCAACAGGCTGGCCTGGCCTAACTTTCCCTTTTAAATGGCATATGAGAAATTTTAAATTTGTTTTAAATAGGGGGATGTTTTTTAATTCGTCTCGGGCCAAATTGTTTAATACGTTTTTATACTGTTTTAAATTTTATAATCTCTGTGTTTTATCTTTTGGCTGTTCACCGCCCTGAGTCCTTCGGGAGTAGGGTGGTATATAAATCTAATTAAATAAATAAATAAAAATAAATAAATAAGTCCTTCCTTGGAAAACTGAGCATGGACACAGCAAGTGTCAGGCTAGTCCCAGCTTGAGCATTTAGAAAAGAAAAACCCTCGACTCCATTCGTAGCAAAATAATATTAACTTTGACTAAAGGGGTTACAGCATAAGCAAAGCTGGATCTGAATATTCCTGCTCAAAACCTGCCTTTTCCCCAATTCCTGGACCCTCCCCTCTTGACCAGTTCATGAGTGACCAATAGTATTCATATTTGGTGTTGGGGTAACCGCTTTAAGGTTTGGCGCCTCTTTGGTGTAGTTCCGCATTGCGTTCTCACGTTCACGTCCTTGGATGCATTGGTCTGTTCCAGATTGGCACCTCGGCTTCCTATCATCCCTCCCCCCTACATTCCCCTCCCCCCCCCCGAAGCAAAGCAGACTGAAGCTTTTACAATGGCAGATGTGACACCAAGGAAGTTTCTCTTCCTGCTTCTTTTAAATCCCTCCTATCTCTCTTCTCCCACTTCAGGTACCCTGCTGGCTTCGTTTACATCTTCATGGGTCTTTATTATGCCACCGACCGAGGCACCAACATCCGCATGGCACAGTACTTTTTTGCCACCTTGTACCTGGCCACCCTGCTGCTCTTTTCCGCATCTACAGCCGCACCAATAAGGTCAGGAGCCGTAATGGGATTTCTGGAAGCATTAAAGAGGATCCGTTTTCCTGTTGCAGGTCCATCCCAAGCCCAGGAACAACGTATTGCGTATGGCCTAAAAGTAAAGGATGAATGGGGCAGGTCCCTCGCAGGGAGGAACTCTAGGACCGTGATGGTGAACCTATGGCACACGTGCCACAGGTGGCAAGCGTAGCCAGATTGGTGGGCACACCGGAAGTTGGCAAACAGGCTGTTTTCAGCCTCCGGGAGGGGGGAGCCGTTTTCGCCCTCCCCAGACTCCTAGAAAGCTTTGGAGCCTGGAGAAACAAAAAAACGGGCCTTCCGGTCCCACTGGAAGTTGACAAATGGGCCATTTCCAGCCTCCGGGGGGATGGGAAGGCCATTTTTGCCCTCCCCAGACTCCTAGAAAGGCTCTGGAGCCTGGAGAGAACAAAAAACGGGTCTTCCGGTCGCACCGGAAGTTGGAAAATTGGCCGTTTCTGGCCTCTGGAGGGCCTCTGGGGGGGGGAGAGGCCGTTTTCGCCCTCCCCAGACTCCTAGAAAGGCTTTGGAGCCTGGGGAGAGAGAAAAACGGGTCCACCGGGCCATCGTGTGCCAGGAGCATGGGGGAGCATGGGGGGGTCGCACGCACGGGGGTGGGGCCACCCACAATTATGGGTGTGGGCATGTGCATGCGTGACCCCCCCCTGCGCTTCCTCCCGCTCTTGGCACACAATGGCAGAAAGGTTAGCCATTACTGCTGTAGGAAATGCCATTGCTCCAGTCACAAATTATTCATTTTATGGAGTTTCTACAATTCACACAGCAAAGTTAAGGTAGAAATTTTAACTTTTTTGTGCTATCCCGAAGAAAGTCCATTGTTAAATACAGGGATCCTTGACTTTTGACTGGACCTTTCAAAACGTCCGGTCCAGTTCTTAATCCAATTCTGAAGTTTGATCATGTGATTTTGATCACGTGACCACGAGGATATTGCAATGGCAGTCGTAAGCGTGAAAAGTGGTCATAAGTCACTTTTTCCAGTGCCGTTGTAGCTTCGAATGGTCACTAAATGAACTATTGTAAGTCGAGGACGGGCTATATGGCTCACTCCGACCTCCGCCTCAGCTGCCTTGGTGGTGGGTGGGCCTGATTCCTCACTGCCCCGTCTTCCCCAGGTCCCTCCCTACGTCTTCTTCTTCATGTGCTGTGCCTCCTACCGCATCCACTCCATTTTCGTCTTGCGCCTCTTCAACGACCCGGTGGCCATGGCAATCCTTTTCCTGGCTGTCAATCTCTTCTTGGAGGATCGCTGGTCCTGGGGCTGCTTCTGCTACAGGTGAGCTCTCCCTTTGTTGATGGGGGTTTGTGGAGGGGTGTGGAGGTGGGGGGCAAAGCAGCATCTTGCAGAGGCATCTCTCGGGTGACCTGGCCCGCCTCAAATTTGGAAGGCTGAGATTCATCCCTGGCGGAAGGGCCTTGGGCCTCCTTTCGGAGCCTCCCCACTTTCCTCGTCAGTCCGATCCTCTGTTTTTCATCAGTTGCTCGCGGTGAAAAAGCTTCCACCTTTTGGGCGAGAGCAGAAATCTCCCTCCTTGGCAATTTTAAGGCTTGTGGACTTCAGCTCCCAGAATTCCTCAGCCAGAGAGAAGGGTGGTAACAGGGGGGCGTTTTTTTGCCCTCCTCGGACTTTTATTGAGCCTCCGGGAGGGCGAAAACGGCCTCCCAGGCTCTGGAGGCCCTCTGAAGGCCGGAAGCTGGCCCATTTCTGGCCTTCCCAAAATTCCAGTAGGCCCGTTTTTCGCCCTCCCCGAGCCTCCACGCACACCCTGTACTTACCTGCATCCAAAACGCGTGGGGGCTCCTGGGAGGGGCGGGGCAGGATGGGTGGGGCCAGCCAGGAGTGGGATTTGGGGGTTCTCCGAACTGCACAGAATCTTAGCTAGAAGTTCTCCCGAACCCCCAGCATCTGGTGGTAACCCTCAGAGGGCTTGGCACACTTTCATTGGCTGCCTTCCCTTCCGTTCTTCAACATCCCAGAGTTTATGAAATATATATGCTGCCCGTGTGACTGAAGTGACTCAGGATGACTTACAACATCCTAAAAGCACAAAACAAAAGCCTTTAAAACGTTCAGCCTTACAAATTAAAACATTAACACCAAAGGAGACTGGTACTGTCCCTGGCACTGATTTACAACATTTTTTTTTTTTTTGCCAAAAATTCTGATTTTGGGGGGGCGGGAAATGCACATTTGTTGCTTCCCGAGCATTGTATATCTCATCGTCTGAGCCTCAGTTCCGCCCGCCTTGTATTCCGTTCATAACTTAGGCTGGGTTCATCTATTATAACGCCAAGCTGTAACTGATATGGTTTATTGTGATTTATTCGATGAAATATAAGTAAGCCAACACGGAGGGGCAGAGATGGTCTCTGGTTGTTGCCTGGGTGGTGTTTAAGCACAAGCGTAGGCTACAGAGCTGGTTTTGACGTGAATGGAGCTAGTGGGGACCAGTGGTGGGTTCCTCCTGGTTCGGCCGAGCCGGTAGCAGTGAGGATATGATGTCACTGGACCGGTTCTCTTTGTTCGGGACCTGCCCCCCCCGCATTATTCTTACCTTTTATTTGCCCTGCCCCCAATCTATTCGCTGCCTCCTGAATCCCAGCTGATTGGCTAGAAGGAAAAAGCTGTTTAAACTCTTGCCACGCGGCTTCAAAAGGCCGCCCTACAGCTGATCAGGTTTAAAGGCAGTGTGGTGGTAGATCAATGCGCTCGAAAAACAAATGGGTAGACCGGTGCCTCCAAAAACAAATGAGTAGACCGGTGCCTCCAAAAACAAATGGGTAGATCGGAACGTTCCAAGAACAAATGGGTAGACCGGTACAGCTCTGCAAGCAGTTAAAAGCCTGGTAGACCAGTACCGCTGCTAAATCCTAAAGAATTGTCACATGACCATCAAACCACACCCACAAAATAAGCCACGGCCACAGAACCGGTAGTAAAAAAATTTAGAACCCACCCCAAGCAGGGACCACACCCACCTAACACCCCTCCTGCTTTTCGCCTTTCAGCCTGGCTGTGTCGGTCAAAATGAACATCCTCCTCTTTGCGCCGGGACTTCTCTTCCTTCTCCTCCGGCGCTTTGGCCTGCGAGGGGCCATTCCAAAGCTCGCCATCTGTGCAGTCCTTCAGGTAAGTGGAGGAGAGAGGCTGTCGCTCAGGGGCTGGAGCACCTGCAATTTTTTTTGCAGCAAGATTTGGTGGGGAGGCAGGCAAGGGCAATGGCCAGACTCCATAAATGGCCTCTCTCGGTTTGCAAAATAGTGTCAGACGGGGGGCCTTTATCTCACAACGGGACCCTACACCGTTCCTTTGATTACGGAAGGGTTTCAGTATTTCAGTTCCTGTGGGAAGCCATTTGTATAAGTCAGTTGATTTGATAATTACCGATATGCCAAAACAAATTCTTTCCTTCCTTCCTTCCTTCCTTCCTTCCTTCCTCTCTCCTTCCTTTCTTTTTCTTGCTTCTTTCCTTCTTTCTTTCATTCATTCCCTCCCTCATTCCATTTCTTTCTCTTTTTCTTTCTTTTTTCTTTCTTCTTTCTTTCATTCCTTCCCTCCCTCCCTCATTCCATTTATTTCTTTTTCTTTTCTTTTCTTTCTTTCTTTTTCTTTTTTTCTTTCTTTTCCTTTCCTTTTTCTTTCCTTCTTTCATTCATTCCCTCCCTCTCCCTTTCTTCCTTCCTTCTTCTTTCTATCTTTTCTTTCTTTCTTCTTTCTTTCTTCCTTCTTCCTTTCTTTCAGTCCTTCCCTCCCTCCCTCATTCCATTTCTTTATTTCTCTCTTTTTTCTTTTTTTCTTTTTTCTTTTCTTTTCTTTTCTTTTCTTCCCTCTTTTTCCTTTTCCTTTCTTTCTTTTCCTTTCCTTTCTTTTTCTTTCCTTCTTTCATTCATTCCCTCCCTCTCCCTTTCTTCCTTCCTTCCTTTCTTTCTTTCTTTTCTCTTTTTTCCTTTCTTTCATTCCTTCCCTCCCTCCCTCCCTCATTCCATTTCTTTATTTTTCTTTCTTTTTTTCTTTCCTTCTTCTTTCTCATTTTCCCCTCTCTCTCTCCCCTTTCAAGATTGCATACGAGCAACCTACTTCATTAGAGATTATCTAATAGTGGGGCAAGAAAACCTGGATGACCGAGAATCACCGTAGACATTGGGAGCTTGTTGTGTCTCTCTTGCAGGTGGCCCTGGGCTTGCCCTTCCTGATGGAGAACCCCGTGGGATACGTGTCCCGTTCCTTTGATTTGGGTCGTCAGTTCCTCTTCAAGTGGACCGTAAATTGGAGGTTCTTGCCCGAAGAAGTTTTCCAACACCGGGCTTTTCACCTGGCACTGTTGGTCCTCCACTTCACAGTCCTGGCTCTCTTTGCACTAACCAGGTGGCACAGGTGAGAAGTGGCAGTTCGTGGGGAAGGAGCTACAGAAAAGGAGGAGTGGAAAAATCAATACTTACTGATAAGATTTGAAAATAATATATAAAATTAATGAGTGTGCGGAATCAGATAGATTAACTAGATTGATCAATGGTAAAAAAGATTCAGAATTTTATAACAGTTGGAAAGTATGGTACGATTGGGTCCAGAAAAGGTGGGATAGAATAGATATATGATGATGTATATATATATGATGGCAAATATGTATGTATAAAGGAATGACTTTATACTTATGGACAATGTTAATCATATTATACCATGGTGGCAGGATTGTATATTTTATTTGTGTATTAGTGTATAGAATATATTAATAAATATATATATATAAAAAAAAAAGAAAAGGAGGCCCATTCCCTGGGATTGTCCCAGGCCTCAACAGAAGAACAGAATTGGGAGGGTCCTTGGAGGTCTTCTAGCCCAACCCCCTGCTCAAGCAGGAGATCCTGTATCAATAGTTTCAGACAAGTCTAGTCTCTTCTTAAAAGCCTCCAGTGATGGAGCATCCACAACTTCTGAAGGCAAGCCCTTCCACTGATTAATTGCTGTCACTGCCAGGAAAGTTCTCCTTAGTTCTAGGTTGCTTCTCTCCTTAATTTCCATCCATTGATTCTTGTCTTGCCTTCTGGTGCTTTGGAAAATAAGTTGACCCCCTCTTCTTTGTAGCAACCCCTCCAATATTGGAAGACTGCTATCATGTCACTTCTAATCCTTCTGTTCTACTTCGGTGGGAGTAATTTAAATTTTCCAACACCGTCCTCGGAGAGGGAGAGAAAGATATTTTTGTTGCACTTGTGTTGGATTTTGTTCCAATTGTCTTTATGTCTCAAGTCAACAGTTCCGGAATGAAAGTAGGCATCACACCGAGATCTCACGTATAGATGGGGCTCAACCTGGCAAATAATCCACCATGAAACTCACCCATTTTCTTACTGGTCCCCTACAGATCTGATGAAACCATCTTGAGCCTGTTAAAGGATCCAGCCAAGAGGAAGGACCATCCAAAACCTCTTTCAGCAAATCATATCCTTTCACTAAAAGTGAGATTTTCTTGTTTGATGGATATGAGGGAAGAGTTGATTACTCACAGTTAGTATAGTCCAGGGGTATCCAACCTTGGCAACTTTAAGACTTGTGGACTTCAACTCCCAGAATTCCCCAGCCAGCCACAGTGGCTGGGGAATTCTGGGAGTTGAAGTCCACAAGTCTCATAGTTTCTAAGGCTAGTATAGTAGTGGCCAAAATTGTGGAAACCTTTTTGGGGAAAGTGTATTTTCTAAAACTAGCTAATAACACCACTTCTTTTGGAGTAGTACCATAAAATTATATATCAATGGAAAGATCATATAATCAAAAGGTAATGCCATAACTTTTATGAAGGATTCTCCATTAGAATGGCAGTTACAGTATAAAGAAGAAAAGTGAAACGCGAAGAAAAAACGAGATATAAAAATTATCACCATGGCAGTTAATACTTAATTGGGTAACCTTTAGAATGAATTACGGCCTTAACAACGTCTTACCATGGAGTGAACCAAGTTTTTTAGTTCTGCAGCTGTTCTAATGTGAAACCAAGATTGAATGATGGCTTCTATTAACTGGGTTTTATTGCTGGGTCGCTTTTAACTAACAAGTTTCTCTAGTCAGCTTCATAGATTTTCAGTTGGGTTAAGGTCTGGGCTATTCCCAGCAGTGGAATATGATTATCTTGAAACTCCCCTCCCCCATCCCCAAATGGTGTTATTAGCCATCAAACCTCAAAAATACACTTTTCCCCAAAAGGTTTCCACAATTTTGGCCACTACTATATAGTTCACTATCCATCACAATGTTATTGTCAGCACTCCAAACTACATTCGTTCCAGTGCTGATATAAGGAGGAGAAGAGGGGGCAGCTGGGAAGAGGACGCTTGACTTTTCACCTACTTATTTTCCCTGAAGATAATATCCCCTAGGAGATGAGATGGGAGGGGGGACATTCCTGGGAGCTGAAGTAGCAGATATGGGGAGAGTGATTTGGAAGATGGCCAATGAGACGCAGAGAATTGGGGAATGGAAAGGGAAGGTTTGGGGTCAGGAAGTCAGTGTTGGCTACGACATAATCGGGGACAGATTGTCGTGCTTAATAAATGAAAGATTTCATCAAAGACTATTTGTTTGGGAATGCAATTTATTTTGAGACAACACTGAAACCTGACAGTTATAGCCCTGGGGAGTTTTGCACTGTGCAATCTTTTCCTTAACCAAAAGCCACAGGTCATTTTCCCTCTCTTTACCTCTAATTTCATTGGCGTTTGCTTCAGCCGCTCCTTGCATTACCAGTTCTACGTCTGGTATTTCCATACCCTGCCCTACCTGCTCTGGTGCACGCCACCCAAGAAGCTGGCCCACCTACTGAAGTATGTATCTTCCAGGACTTTTTTGGGGGGGGGGGGTTGGGGGGGGGGGGGGAAGGGCTACAAGCCAAGGCTCTTTTATCCTATTTTAGAGTCTCTTCACATGCGCCAGCGTTGCGCTTGCTCTCTTCGTACTGGGAACCTTGTGTGCTAGGTGGAGGGAAGTTGCGAGCTGCGCTGCTGGTTTCAGTGGGAGTGAGCGTGTTTGCCTGTGTGTCTGGTTTTTGTCTGTCTCTCTGTGTGTATCAGCAGTTATCCAGCCACTGAGATTTCTGAACATTTCCTTCCCTGCCCCCAAGAGGTGCAAGTAATTGTTCTGCCCCAGCTACGGACCCCAAAGAACACAACATACACAAAGTTTGTACAAAACTTAAATTTACTAAAAGAACTCAGTTTTTTTCCAAACAAAGGCTGTTAATAAACTTTCTTAACAGCCTACAAGAAAACAAAGATAAAGTAATCACAATCTTACTAAGATTGGCAGAAAGCCCAGAAGCAATTTGCAGAGAATCCAGACGCGGAGGAGAATGAACTAAAGTTGTTCCCTACAATTTGCTTCAGTCGGTGTTCCTCCTTAAATAGGCTAAGGGAGTGGCCAATTAGCCCCAAACCTTACTCTCGAGGAGACCTCCTCCTGAGGAGCCACTCCTGCCTTTTGGCAGCTCTGCGCGCCCGTGCATCGAGAAGAGGCTCCTCTTCTTCGTCCTCTTCACTTATGGGAGCTTCTGGAGGTTCTGAAGGCCCTGGCTGAATCCCTGCCTCTGGCACCACATCTTATGACCATTTTTCAAACAACCGTTGCAGCATCCCCAGGGCCATGTGGTCAAAATTCAGACCCTTGGCAACTGGTTCGTATTTATGACGGTTGCAGGGTCATGGGGTCACGTGATCCCCTTCTGCGACAAGCCCAAGTCAGTGGGGAGGCCAGATTCGCTTAACAACCATGTTTCTTAACATCTGCAGTGATTCACTTAGCAAATACGACAAGAAAAGGTCGTAAAATGGGGCAAAACTCACCTAACAAATGTCTCGCTTAGCCACAGAAATTTTGGGCTCAGTTACAGTCATAAGTCGAGGACTGTCTGTACTTAGATTCAGCTATCCATATATTGACATAAAGGGAGATCAGTTTTCTCCCCAACTGGTAATTTATGGTTAAACACACACAGACTCCCGTCAACCTGGTGCCCAAATTAGAAATACAGGCAGTCCACAACAGCCATTTGTTTAGTGACCAAAGTTATGGCGCTGAAAAAAGCGATGGGTGGCTGGTCCTCACACTTACAATGACATCCCCACCGTCATGTGATCAAAATTTGGGCGCTTGGCAAACAACGTGTTTTTATGACAGTTGCAGTGTCCTGTAGTCATGTGATCGCTATTTACAACCTGCCCAATTGGCTTCCAACAAAATCAAAATCAAATGGGGAGATCCACTTAACGACTGCATGACTCACTTAAGGACTGCAGTGATTTACTTAACTGTGACCAAAAAAAGTTGTAAAATCGGGTGTGAATCACTGCCTTGCTTAGAGATGGAAATTCTGATCCCAATTATGGGGCTAAATCCAGGATTACCTGTAAAACATCAAATTTGTGAGTTTGGGGATCGAGGAAGAGATGACTATTATTTTAAAATAGTACGAGCCAACCAAATCAAATATATTCTTGTAGGAGAGAAAAAAATAGCATGGAACAAAATTAAATTTAATATCAGATGCCTTACAGTAACTAAGGCAACTTTTACCAGAAGTCTAAAGTAGAAATGTTTAAAAATAATGAAACTCGACTGATGCAGATCGGGAACAAAATGGCTGTACCATTTAAAATAGTATCTGGAGACAACCCAGTTTAAGAAGTTCCAAAGGTGCTTTTTCAAAAAGCAACTGGACTTTCTTTGGTTTTTTCCTTGAACTCGTTTTGCTTCTCATCCAAGGAGTTTCTTCAGTTCTTCCAGAAGCTTCTTGGATGAGAAGCGAAACGTCTTCAGGGAAAAGGAACCAAGGAAGTCCACTTGCCTCTTGAAAAAGCACCTTTGGGAGAAACCATGACCCGGATGACTGAGAATCTCCATAGCAGGGGTGAAATGCTCCCGGTCGGACCGGATTGCCCAATCCGGTAGCGATGGCCGCGGGTGGTTCGGAGAACCGGTAGCAAAAATCCCTGCTCCCCCCCCAATGCCCAGCTGAGCTGCGCAATCATCAGAGGTGGTTTTTTTTTTTTTTAAGCATTTTTTCTACAACCTCTTCAGCCGAAAAAATGCTTTTAAAAGTAATTAAAAAAAAGCCTCTAATGATCGCGCGGCTCAGCTGGGATCGTCAGTGGCTTTTAAAGAGATTGTAGAAAAAATGCTTTTAAAAGCCTCTGACGATCCCAGCTGAGTTGCCTGATTGTCAGAGGTTTTTAAAAGCATTTTTTTACAATCTCTTCGGCCGAAGAGGTTGTAGAAAAAATGGTTTAAAAAGTTTTTTTTTAAAAAAAGTTGGCCACGCCCATCCAGTCACATTACCCCACCACCACCAAGCCACGCCCACAGAACCGGTAGTAACAAATTTTACATTTCAACCCTGCTCCATAGATTTAAGAAGGTTGCCTTAAGTTTTCATAGACTGCAATTCATTTCATCAGATGCTGGACACGCTTTCCTAAATTGTGGGTATTTCAGCAAATGGGAGAGAGGATCTTGAGGGAGGAACAACAGGAAAACGACACCCAGAAAATGAACATGATGGTAATCCCGTTTAAAGTCATTAAGAAGTTAAAATGTTCATAACTAAGACAACATGCTAATAAAGCATATTCATGCCTTAGCTGACAGTTTGTTCGTTTTGTTAATTGTTAGCGTGTGATGTCACCCTGGCCACATGATGATAGAAAGTGATCCTTCATTCAATCTACTTGAATAGATTGAAGCAGGAGTGGAGGATGGGATTGGGAGAGGAGGAGTGAGCAGCCCAAGATCCCAGGTTGCTAGAGATCATCTAAATATTTATCCAAAATCGGTTGCCCTGTTACTATTTAAAAAGCTGGAAAACCCAAAGAACTTGTTTATGTATTCTAAAATACAGGTAGCCCTGTATTTTACAGGTAGACTTAACAACCACAACTGAACCCAAGGTTTCTGTGGCCGAGTGAGATAGTTGTTAAGTGAGTTTTGCCCCATTTTACGATCTTTCTCGCCACAATTATTAAGCGAATTACTGCGGTTGCTCAGTTAGTAACTGAGGACTTCCCCATTGATTTTGTTTGTCAGAAGATAACAAAAGGGATCACGTGACACTTCCCGCCCAGAACACTGCAACAGTCATAAATACAAGGCAGTGGCCAAGTGTTTGAATTTTGATCAGGCGATCATGGGGATGCTGCAACAGTTGTTAAGTATCAGTGCTAACAGTCACTAAAGGAGTCACTAAATGTGGAGGACCAGGGGTGAAATGCTCCCGGTTCGGAGCGGATCGCCCGATCCGGTAGCAATGGTGTGGGTGGTTCGGAGAACCGGTAGCAAAAATCCCTGCCCACCCCCTCATGCCCAGCTGAGCTGCACAATCATCAGAGGCTTTTTTTTTTACTTTTAAAAGCATTTTTTCTACAACCTCTTCGGCCGAAAAAAAGCTTTTAAAAGTAAAAAAAAAAAAAAAAGCCTCTGATGATCGCGCGGCTCAACTCTGCCGATCAGGCAACTCAGCTTGGATCGTCAGAGGCATTTAAAAGAAAAAAAGCCAAAGAGGTTGTAGAAAAAATGCTTTTAAAAGAAAAAAAAGCCTTTGCCGATCAGGCAACTCAGCTGGGATCATCAGAGACTTTTGAAGGCATTTTTTACAACCTCTTCGCTGAAGAGGTTGTAGAAAAAATGGTTTTAAAAGTTAAAAAAAAATGGCCACACCCACCCAGTCACATTACCCCACCCCCACCAAGCCACGCCCACAGAACCAGTAGTAACAAATTTTAGATTTCACCCCTGTGGAGGACTATCTGTAAGATTAACATGGGAGGGAAAGGAAGGCCCTTTGCATGTATGTGACAGTCTAAGGCAGAAGTCACCAACTGGTGGTCCGCGAGAAACTTTTGGTGGTCCGCAGAAAAATTATTTGCATTTTTGATATTGCACTAAATCGGGGGTCCTACAACTATGGCCCCTGGGCCGGATATGTGCAATGAACGTTTGTGTCACTGCAGAGATTCTCCCCCTTTGGGGTCTTTTTGTTTGGGTCGGAGGGGGACAGAAATTCTGACTCGGGGTCTGCTTCAGCCTCCTGGTGAGGGGCTTTGGGCGAAGGCTGAAGGGAAGCGCTGCTGGTGGCAAAGAGCCGGAGACCCTTGTTCCAGTGGGGCTGCATCATGGCCTGGAACTGGCTGACCATCTCAGCCCACTGAGCCTCCAGGCGCTGGTACCTGGCCTTGTACTCCCGCAGGTCTTCCCTCTGCTTGGAAAGCCTATGCTCCTAGTCCTCAGTGAGGTGCTTCTGCTGAGCCTCCTTCCCGGTCAGATCCAATTTGAACTGAGCTGTTTTGCCAACTCTTTTTCATGGTGGCTGCTTAGCTCCAACAACTGCTTCCTCTTGGGGCCCTAAGGAGCCCAGGCGGGCAGGTGAGAAATGGCTAGGTGAGGAGGGGTGAGTAGATGCTGGCGAGGCGCCCCTCGACGTGAGTGACATTGAGTTGACCACACCCACCCAGTCACATGACCACCTAGCCACACCTACCCAGCCAGTCATTAGGCAGATCATGTTAATGGTCCGCGGGATTTTAAATTATGAATTTAGTGGTCCCTGAGGTCTGAAAGATTGGGGACCCCTGGTCCCCAATTTCTTGCCAGAAATAGCCTCTTTGTTTCCAGGTCACTCAATGAAGTCTAGAAAATCCATCTATCTTGCATTTATGTACATATTTTCACCGCAATGGGGAATAACAGGAAAACTCCTTCCTTTCCTATTAGCAGGTAGGTCACCTTTTTTTTTAGGGCTTCAGTTAAATCATGGTTTTCTTCTCTTGGTCTCGCCTCAGAGTGCTTATCTTAGGTTTAGTCGAGCTCTCGTGGAACACGTATCCCTCGACCGTTTACAGCTCAGCTTCTCTCCACGTGTGTCATGGAATCATCCTTCTGCAGCTCTGGCACGGGACAAGGTCTTCTCCGGAGGAGAAGCAGCCGTCAAAAAAGGTGGAATGAAAAAACGACTCAGAAGAAAGAGGGACAGTAAGAATTTGGATTAAGATCGGCCGTTGCTGAGGACCACTGAGAAGGGGCCGTTCACAGACCTTCCCGGTGCCAGATGTGCTTGCGGGGCGATGCCCTGCCTTCTCTTCCCTGTGGCTAAAGTGGGGTGCGGAATGGGAATTGGCAGAGCTGATCGTCACACCAAAGATAATGTGGAATATCTTGAATAAAGGACAGTAATGGTTGGATAACGAGGCTTCACTTGGCTGCAATTTATGGATTGTCATAGGACAGTGATGGGCAACCGAGTGCCGAAAAAAAGGTCACATGGAAACGTTGTGCACATGCTTGTCACAGCCATGCTCCGGAAAAGCCAAACTTCCGGGTTCTAGCACGCAATCAGATGGCCGACGCGAATGCGCAGGCTGGTTTTTGGCACTGCCATGCGCGCGCGAAGGGAACACACTCTGGAAAAGCCAAACTTTGGGGTTCTGGCGTGCATGCACACTAGACAATCAGTTGGCCGGTGCACATGCACTCACTGGTTTTTGGCACTGCCACACGCACGGACAGCTGATTGTCACGCGCAGATGTGCACCAGAAACCCGAAAGACAAACAGGTAAGGCTGTGCATGCCGGGCGATTGTGTGACACTTTGGGTATGTGTGCCATAGGTTCGCCATCACAGCCGTAGGACGTGATATCCTCCAGCCTGTGGTTTTTTGTTTTTTTTTAAAAAAAAAATTGAGATTTTGGCTTTTTAATATGGACCAAGCACTGTTGCCATAAATTGGGGCAAGGTTTTTATAAGATGCCCTGTGGCAAATTGTGCCCTCTAGTAGTACAGGTAGTCCTCAACGTATGACCACAATTGAGCCCAAAATTACACATTTGTTAAGTGACTTTTGCTCCCTTTTATGACCTTTCTTGCCACAGTTGTTAATCATTGCAGTTGTTAAGTTAGTATAAGATGGTTGTAAAGTGAACCTGGCTTTTCCATGACTTGGCTTGTCAAGAGGTCACAAAAGGGGATCGCATGACCCCGGGACACTGCAACCGTCATAAATATGAGTCAGTTGCCAAGTGTCCGACTTTTGATCACGTGACCATGGGGATGCTGCAACGGTCGTAAGTGTGGAAAACGGTCATGTCACCTTTTTTAGTGCTATTGTAACTTTGAACGGTCACTAAACAAACTGTTGTAAGTCGAGGACTACCTATATTCAGCAATTGGCAAGATAAATGTTCAGGGTGGGGCTGCTGAAGAAGTGCTGGAATGACTTGAAAATTCCCCGTGTGTCTGTAAATATGTAACATAGCTAGAGCTTTTTCCTAGCATGCCAGTCTCATGAACAGCCCTAGGACAATGGAAACCGCCAAGTCATACTCGGTCGTTAAGTGAAATGGTCACTAAATGAATACGGGTCAAAGAGACACTGCAAAAAGTGCTACTTGCTGCCATCTCATTCAGATAAAAGTTCTCTTGTACAGGACGTGACCCGTTTCCAGTGCTGGTATTCAGCCGGTTTGTAGCGGTTTGGGAGAACCGGTGGCAGAAATTGTGGGTGGGCCACAATCTCTGCTACCAGTTCTCCCAAACCGCTACGAACCGGCTGAATTCCAACACTGGAAACGGGTCACGTCCTGTACGCCCCCTCCGCCCCAGTGTAAAGGATGGAGAGATTAAACAAGCTCTTGCTTCCTGAGCTGCTTTTCTCCACAGCTGAGGATTTCCCTAAAAAAATGCCAAAAGCAAGTAGAGCTGAACTTTTAGAAACCTTTGGCCGGCTGGAGATGCTGCCTGAAACTGACTAGGTCTGAATCAGTTTTGAACCGAAGGCTTTTGTTATCGTAAATGGGCACCGTGGCCGAAGACCGCTACCATTTATTACTGACATTATTTCAAACGGTTGTTACCTGAGGCAGTTGCTAAATCAGGGCTACCCATATTGTAGTAGGAAGCTATCTAAATGTTTATGACTCTTGTGCCCTGATTAGGAAATTACCATAAATAAGGACTGGGTCATGAACGACTTCGAATGGAGAGGTTCTAGGAGGGATTCTGGCATCCTTTGAGGGTGCTGTTGAACGCCCAGAAGATGTGGGTCATCAGAAAGAGAAAGACGTGGTAAGCTGGGTCAGTGATTTGGCTCAGCATGGAGGCTCTCTTCTACTCTCTGAAGGCTAACAGGTGTAGTTACACATTTCTTCCATTCGGCAAACTCTTCAGATTGGGTTGATCACAGGAGTGAAATCCAGCAGGTTCTGACAGGTTCTGGAGAACCGGCAGCGGAAATTTTGAGTAGTTCGGAGAACCGGCAGATACCACCTCTGGCTGGCCCCAGAGTGGGGAGGGAATGGGGATTTTGCAATATCCTTCCCCTAGAGTGGGGAGGGAATGGGGATTTTGCAGTATCCTTCCCCTGCCACGCCCACCAAGCTGAGTGGATAAAAATCAATGATTTTTTTAAAAAAAATCAAAAAAATCAGATTTTTTTGATTTAAATCAGATTTTTTTGATTTTTATCGAATTTATTTTAATAAAAAACTTTTGGGGTAAAAATCTATCATAAGATAATTTTCTATTTAAGATACATAAATCATTTAGTTTATTCAGCATGAAATGGAGCTTAGTTATGTAGCAGGAGGCTGTATATTCTGCAACACTGGGACTATCGGTGAGTCAAGTGGGTCAAAGGAGTAGCAGAGATGACAGTTGCTCTTTAAAAATTATGATTTAAATCAAGTTGATTTAAATCAAGCCTTTTTCCTAGTGTTTTAAATCATTATTTAAATTGTGATTTAAATCAACTCGATTTAAATCAAATCCACCCTGCCACTAAGTCACCCCACGCCCAAGCCACGCCCACAGAACCGGTAGTAAAAAAATTGGGATTTCACCACTGGTTGATCGCTAAAAAGATCTGTGGCTGATTCAAGAGTGATCTTTTCCATCGTGCTTGTCAAGTCCATGGATATCGTACACAAATCTTTCTGTTCAGAAATCACACCAAGGGCAGATTTTTGAGAGTGGACAATTTTTCTGTTAAGTAATCCTAATCCTCTCTTAGTCCCTAAAAACAGGTAGCTTTCAATCATCCACTTTGGTGACCATTCGAAGGTACAAGGGCACTGGAAAAAAGTGACTTGTCTCCGTTTTTCACACAACCGTCGCAGCCTCCCCACAGTCACATGATCAGAATTCGGAGCCCCTTGGCAACCCTTGGTTTGTATTTATGACGGTTGCGGTGTCCCGGTTACAGTGTCATGTCATCACCTTTTATGACCTCCTGATAAGCAAAGTTAGAGGGGACGCCAGATTCACTTAACAACCGTGTTACTAACTTAATGCCTGTAGTGATTCACTTAACAACTGTGTCAAGGAAGATAGTACAACAGGGGAAAACTCACTTAACAAGTGTCTTGCTTAGCAACGGAGATGTGGGGCTCCATTGTCGTAAATCGAGGACTCCCTGTGCTTGGATTATACACCTTTTAAGCAAAGCGGCACACCGAATGGGGGTTGAGAATGGCCTCGCCTGTTCCTTGAAGCTCTCCACTGTCAGCAAAATGATACTTCATTCCCAGCCCGTGAAAGAACCCTCCGCAGCAATAGAGACGCTGGAATCCATTCCTCTTTTATTGGCCTCGTGAAAAGCGACCACCTGGCCTGCTCGTCACACGTTATTCGGGTTGTAGCACAACATGTTCAGCTTGATGTTCTCGTCCCAGTGGCGGAGCAGCAGGAAAAGTTGGCGGGCTGCTCCTTTCAGGGTGGCCACGTCCAGGCCTTCGGGCAGCCGCTGACCCCGCAGCCAGGAATCCGCTTTAGCTGCCAGAAGCTCCCATTCCACAAAAAAGCCGGCGCAGCGATGCTCGAGCCATGCCAGGGCCACAGCTGTGGCCCAGCTCATGCCCTCTAAATCGCCCTCTTCCGCTTCCAACCCTGCCTCCTGCAGGCTGAGGCTGGCTTCCGAAGCGTCCGGCGAATGGTCGCAGGCCTCGGTTTCTGAGCCCCTTCCGCTGTCGACCTGGGCCCACACGACGGCGCTCAGGACGTCCGAGCAGGTGCTGGGTGAGTGCGGGGAGTCCGGCTCCATCACCTGCTCTTTGCTTGTCCTGACTCCCTCTTCATCGGCTTCTGGGGGAGGCTGGTTTGCTGGTGGCTTTGGGGGGTTCTTGGCAATCAGAGCCCACGGAGAGGTGCTGGAGGCAGGGCTGAGGCTGGCCCGGTGGGAGGGATAAGGAGAGGCCCGGCACAAGCGGTCCAGGGGGATCTGCACCGCTTCGGAGAAGGCCTCGTTCAGGTGGAACATGCCTGGGGCTTGCTGCAGCTGCACCTGGGGAGGTACGGATGGAAGAGAATATCTCAAGATATGGGGTCCTTGGCGCTCTCTGAGCTTGGTTGATTGATTACCATACTTTGCAGAGTATAAGATGCACTCCCCCACTCCAAAAGAGAGTGGAAATGTTAGTGTGTCTTATACACCGAATACGGCCATTTTTGGCCTCCTGAAACCCTGCCCTGCACGTCCCATTTTCGCCAAAAACTGGCCCATTTTTCGCAAAAACGGGATGCGCAGAGGGATTGGGAAGCCTGCAGAGTGCTCCTGGGGGCCGGGGAGGGCAAAAACCGGATACGCGGAGGCCAAAAACTATATATTTTTTTCTTGTTTTCCTCTTTGAAATCTTGGTATGTCTTATACTCCGGTGCGTCTTACAGTCCGAAAAATACTTTCGGTATTTTATTTATATCTCACACTTCTTAACCACCCATCTCCTTCAGGAAAGGCCTCTAGGCGGTGTACAATTTAATCAATAAAATTAGGCATTAAAAACAGAATAATTTAAGATTATTTTTTAAAATAGATATATATATATAAACCAACATTATAAATTTACAAGAGAGAGAGAAAATTCCAAGATGGGGAGGTTAGCAGCTTTCTGGCAAATGTTTCATGATCAAACTTGGTAACATCGTCAGTGATAGAAGGGAATGGGATCTGTTCTCCGCTAGCACTGATCATGTTACTTAGTTTGGTCATGAAACGTCTGCAAGAAAGCAACCAAGCCTCAGACAGCACCAAGAGCCCCACAGCTAGAGGTATATTTCAGCTTTCCTTCCTGTTTCATTTTAGGATTTTTGCCCAGTCCAACTTTGCCCTGGATTCTAAAGAGGGATAAGCAGTCCCAAGGCACATTCATTATCATGGTGAAAAGGGCAAAGACTTTTGAGTCGCAAGCCAAAGTC